CGCAACAGCTGCATAGCTTATGCCCGCTCAACATCGACAAGGAGGGACAGGAGGAGCAGCACGACGGCGGAACACGGCGAGGACATGTACCGGAAGGGCGATGATGAAAATGGCGAGGGTGGACAGGGGCAGGATAGGATGATGACGAGGACGAGTGAGGAGGATGGGAGATGATGGATGGGCTGGAGGGGCGATGTGCTTGTTTCTTGCCTGCGCTGGGTTCGCTGCGAGCCCGTGACCGGGCAGCCGCGTTTCGCCCACTGCTAGTTTCGTTTGCCTGGAGGACCTGCCCTGGGTGTGTACTTGGCCTGGCGTGCACGTTTGGGGCCAGCGCCACGCAGGGCCTTCCAGACAGGGCACTGCCTCCGAGGGTCGAGCAGTTGCAGTTGACGCCTCGCCCCCGGCAGAAGCCGGCGAGGGCGGCGGAAGGCTTATGCATGGAAGAAAACCAGGTATACACCCCAAGGGAGGTGATCGCCCGCGCACCAAGGGGTCCCAGAGCTGGCTGCCCGTGTGTGGTGCGTGGGAATTCCTGCGTTGTTGTCTGTCCGGTGGTCACGGAGCAAGCAGTTCAGGGCGCGCACGCAAGAGCTGGCTCCCTCAGACCTCTCGAGCCCCTCGCGGAGTGAGGGAGAAAGAGCGGAGGAGGAGGAGTGGAGGAGGAGGCGGGAGGAGGAGCAGGACGGATGAGGAGGAGAATGGGAGGACGGGAGGAGGAAATGAGGAGGAAGAAAGAGGAATGTGGAGGAGACGGGTGAAGGAAGGGGGGATAGAACAAGGAAGGCATGGGAGAGCTGGGTTGGAATTCACCCCCTGTTTGGGATGTGTTTGTCATCCCCTACCGTCATGTGATGTTCCCAGGGCCTGGTCGTGGTTCTCTGGAGCCCGAGATTTGTAGAAGAACGGTCCGTGGCAAATGGTTTGAAGAGGTGAGTTCACCTCCAACGCTGGTGCCAAGGGGGCAGGTGAGTTTTCTGGCCCTCTGCCTCCCCTGTTGGCAGCCCCGACAGCCCTCCGCCGCTTGTGCCGTTCGTCCCCGCCCACAATTTCGACGCCGTGGAGTTCCGCGTCACCGTGGCCAGCGAGCCAGGGGAGGTGCCCTCCATCATCCCCTCCTCGTCCTTACTCTTCCACCACCTTCTCATCATCCTTGCCTATCTCTCCATCTTTCTCCTGACGGCTCGTTGTAACGTCACCAAGCTGACAGCGTTCTGCGTGTCCTTGGGTGCGTTGGTGCACGATGGCTGCAGTTGGCCCCCTCAGCTGGCGATGTTGTTGTTGATAGCGTAGGTTGCCTACCTGGCACCCCGAGGACCCCTAAGCCTCTGGCCCTCTTACGTCGACGAGGTTGTGGGCCATAGCCCTGCGATCGTGTTGCATCGTACCGCGGTGGGCAGTCATACTTGGTTGTCCAAGTGTCGTTCCACCCACCCCCATTGGTCGTGGCCGTGTGTGGCGGTTTCAGTGTCAACGGTTGTGCAGGCACTGTTGTCCCGAAGCGGCGGGGGGCGTTTTGCCGTTTTGCCACACTGTGTCAAGGCCCAGGCCCCGTCGCAGCTTTCTCGGTGAGGGCCACGGCTGTCGTCGGCCAGGCTCCTGCGAGGATCAGGGCCCTCCGTGGTTAAAGCGATCACCCCGCAGCTCCTCTGTGAGGGCCAGTCGCAGCACGCGGCGCTTACTTTCCCCACCAAGGGCAGCCCGTTGACCGCTCGATCACGGGTCTCTCGCCCAACGATTTCCACATTTGCCCGGGGAAAGTAGTGCAATTTCAAAGAGTCGATGTGTTCGTGTTCGTCGTTTTCGGCGTTCCGATGTCTTTGGCCTTCGGGGGCTTGTGGGCCTTCGTACCCTCAGAAACGGACCCAGGATAAAACATCTACCCCCAGGGAAGTCTTTCGGACCATTCTTCGACAAGATCTGCAAACGTTGCAGTACTTTGCCACGGGGGTGTCGCACAGTGCCCCCCACCTGTTCAGCAGCTTCGTCGTGTGCGCCAAGTCCCCTGATAGGGACCCTGTTCGCCAAGTCCCCTGATAAGGACCTTTCGCACGCCGTGCTCCCTGGTAGGAGCCTCTGTTCAACACTACTCTTTGATAGGAGCTGCGCAAAAAGGCTCTCTGACAGGAGCGGCGCCCAGGACTCCCCAAAAGGAGCTACGCATGCAGTAGCGAGGGCGAGTTGTCGATCGATGCTGGAGTTGGATCACGATCGGCTCTTGCAACGGTGAATTGTCGTTCGGTTTGGTGGCAGCCGTGCTCGGCAAATGACCGGCTGATGCCAAGCAGCGGTAAATCTTCGCCCCCAGCGCGTTGGTGTCATGCGCGCCAGCGCCATGCCAGGGACCTCGACCACGGGTGGACTTGTGGCAGGATGGCGACCTTGCCAAGGACGACCTTGCCAAGTGAAGTGCGTCATTGTGCCCAGTCTATCGCGTCTCGTGACCTTCCCGTGTCTGGAGCACGGGTTGCCTTCGGAAAAGACTTGTGTCATCTCGGATGCCCTTTACCATCATTCCCGATTGCACGCCGAACTAAGTTTGGCTCTGCCCCCGAGACCATCGTGACCAGATGTCTTGGGCGCGAGCATTTTGCTCCACATTCCGTAGCTTTTTCTTTCGCATTGTCCTCCTGATGAACCTCCCATCTCCACTACCCTCCACCATCTCCACCTTTACCGCCCTTCTGGTTATCCCTCTCCTCCTTCACCTCACCCTTCCTCCCTTGCCTTTTGTATTTTCACTCATCTATTATCCTTTTTCCGTTCCACCCTCTTCGTCACGCCACATACGCGCAAGACCGACTCCGATCCGATCCTATCCTAACCCATCCCATCGCATCGCATCCCATCCTATCCTATCCTGTCCGGTCCCATCCCACCCTATCCTATCCTCCTCATCCTCTTCCTTTTCCCAGACACGCGACGTTTTACGTATTCAATAGGGGGTCCCCAGCAGTCCTGACCATTTCGGCAGGGCCAGCTGTGACGGTCTCCGGGCCCGGCGAGGGCCCTCGGGGGCCGAACGCGGGCGGAAACCTCCCGTCGTGACTTGCTTCCCGGCGCGGGCATGTTTGGGCATCCTCCTGCCAGCCAGCCCGCCAGAGAAGGTCCCCTCGCAGCTGGTGGTGAGCCACATCATGGAGCAGATTCTGCACCGGGACAAGCGCGGGCCCGCCATGAGGCCAGCGGGTCGAGCCCGCGCCAGAGCGGCCCTTGGCTGGGCTGGCTTCTGGCTCGGGCCCACTCCAGGTTTGTCCGCGTGGTGGGAAATCAAGGACGGGAGAGGGAGGAGGAGGAGTAGGAGGAGGGAGGAGGAGGAGGAGGAGGAGGAGGAGGAGGAGGAGGAGGAGGAGGAGGAGGGAGGGTTCTGCGTGGTTGTTGGGTGTCGTGGGCCCCCGTCGGGCCACAAGACGACCGCCACACATCATACGGGATGACGAGAGCAGGCTCTGGGGATGAAAAGGGTCGGGACGTTCCGAGACCCGGCATAAAAGAGGAGATCACATGTCTGGGGCGACAGCTCAGAGGGGGCAAGAAGCCATGACATCGGCAGGTCCCCCACGGTTTCCTGGCGGCCCCTGTGGCCTCCAGGAGCGAGGGCCGCTGGAATCCAGCGGCCCTCGCTCCTGGATACCTTGGAACTCTTGGCACGTGCGTATTCTGAACCCGGAGTCAATCGCAGCACGGTATTCTGAACCCGGAGTCAATCGCATCACGACGTTAAGCACGCCCTCGCCAAAAGGCCGCTCATTCTTGCGCGTGGCCCCCCCAAAACCGCTTCCCTTGCTAAAACCTTCCCTCTTTGATGGCGACTCTCCCGGCAACACGACCAAACGAAGCTCCTAATTGTTCTTGCCGTATCGTTGCTCGTTTTCTTGCGTTCCCTACGAACTGACCGCAGCCACCCTTTGTGTATTTTGTTTCGTCGCCGTGGTTGTAGCTAGCTAGTTTGTCGCGGGCGTCATTCGTTCCTCACTGTAGAACTGCCATGTTTGTTTGTGCGTGGTTGTGCTGCATCTTCGCGGAAATGGAAATCGCCAGGGCTCGCATGGACTTCGAGCAATTTGTCTACGTGTGGCTCCCCATTGCGGCAAAATTGGCATTTGGCCGTATCACCATTGCAGTTTTGTCAGAAATCGTTCAAGAGGAGGTTCGCTCATCCGATGCAGTTGCTCCTGATTTCGTGTTGGGCTTCTTATGGTACCGGTGATCACACTAAGTGCGCGCCCAGTGTGTTTCTTCAGTTCGCATCACCTACAGAAGAAGCCCATACCAAGAAAAGCCCTGCTTGCCTCCAGAGTGCCCTGGGTTCTTTTGGTTTTGATGGTTTTGCAATGGAAAACGCGACGCTCCCGTACCAGAAATCGCATGACGTCCTGAGGTCTCGGGGGTAGGTTTCTTGTGTAAGGTTTCTTGTTGTCGAGCTCCCACCGTAGATCATCGGGACGCACGTCTCAGACCATCGCGAGGCTGGTATATAGCATCCATCCGCGTGTGGGCTGGGGGGTGGGGGTGCGATCCACCTGTCTTCACCAGTCCCCAGAAGGGGAGTCACTCCCTGGGCGCCACCCGTCTCCTCGTCGCCACTGCTGCGGACTGCCCGAGCACCCCATCGCGAGACGCAGCGCGGTGGGCGCGAAGCTTCGGCCACGGAGTCGTGAGCTTGCGCGTTTCCATACTGGCGCGGATGCTGTGAATCCGTTATTGGTACTATCTTGTTGCTGCCGAGTCGGTTTGTTTTCGCTTTCGCTGCCTCAGCTAACTAGTGTTCGGGCCGCAGCGGTCGTCATCGCTTGCTTGTCTAACTAACCGGCAGGGGGGAGGGTCCTTCGTTTCCAATTTCATTTTGTCGCGTCGCTGGGAGAGCAGGAAAGTTTAGTCAGACGTTTCCGTCGGTTTTCGGTGGCTGTCCAGCCTTGGGATGCATTCCAGCAGCCGCGCTTCGCCGAGAGTGTTCCCGATGTGTCCGGATCGCCCCGATGGCAACGAGTCGGCAACATGGCGGCGACATCGGCGACATGGCGGCGAGAGCGCCAGACAGGCCCAGACGACGGGCGGCGACGAGGAGGCGACGGCAGCCACGTACCCGCTGGACCGCCAGACAGGTTCAGTTTTGTGTTCCCTCACAGAGAACAAACAAGAACCTTCAAGTGCAAGCACTGTGCTTGGGAAGTTGCACAACGAAGACCCCCATAGACTGGAAAGGCCCGGCGGCGCCCCCGGCGTCACCCCTGGTGCCTTCGGCGGGCGACCCAGCGCCGATCCTAGAAATCCGGGCGAACCTCGGAAGCTGATGCTCACTCACAACGCTTTCTCTGCATCCGCAGCATCCCGACGTGCTGATCTTTCACCGCGTGGACCCCCCAGGGGTCCCGACCAGCTCCCCACGACCCGTTTCTCATCCTGCGTTGCTCTTCCGTTGGTCCTGGGGCCCGGCGAGGCAGAGGGGCTGTGGATCTAGAAAAACTCCCAGGCCGCGGGTTCTCACGACGCCGCTGGTATGACTTGCTCGATCCATGGATCGAGCAGATCACACCTGGGAGCATGCACGCTCCCAGGGTTACTCGCCGCTTCCTCGGGGACAGTTTTCCGTGCTCGATCCATTTGCGTTGGCCCAGGGGCCGAAGAACGGCTCCCAGAAGCCGGCATTTAGGAAGAATATCCCTGGAGATCTTCTGGGTCTTCTTCTTTTCCTGTGGCCCCGCCCGGTGACGGCGCTTCTGGTGCAGTATGGCATCTTTGGACGCCCGACATGGGTAAGAAATTTGGGTTGATGCCCAACGGCACGTGTTGATCAAAACCGACAGCGGCCGTTGTTGGGCAGGTGGGTTTCTTCCTCGCAAGGACAGCGTCCGCGGCGACACTGGCAGCGAATCCCGCTTGGACTGAGCAGGAACTGTTGTCGGTCTTCGTGGCCGTTCCTTCCGTAATTACCCCTTCCGATCGCACCGATCTCCTGTGGCCCCGCGGCCCCGCCCGGCGAGGGCGTTCTTGGTGAAGTACGGCGTCGACCCGCTGGCCGAGCTGCCCGCGGCGATCTCCAGCGACGTCGGGCTGCCGCTGGGCCCGCTGGAGCTCCCGCCGACCACGACGCCCGCGCCGCTCCCGCCTGGCGGGGCGGCATCGCTGCCGATGCGGCCCGCGCCGCTCGCCTACAGCGCCCGCGGGCACACCGAGGAGCACCAGGCTCCCCAGCCCCTTGCTTACGAGGGAAGTCCTGGAGGCATCGCGCGGCGTGCAGCAGTTGTAGTATCTAGCTAGTCCACGTGTCAGCTCCGCAAGCGATGGGTCGACGCTCGCGCGGCGATGCTCCGGCGTCAGTCCGACGTGAATCCGACGTGAACCCGACTCAAATCGGGTCTCAAAATGCCGCGCGAGGACTCCGAGAATGTTTTTCAGGACCTTGCCTCCTTAGCCTCTGGGCGTATCCTCAGGATTGGGAGTCGGCTGGGCGTCCGAGGGGGCCCAGCATGTAGATCCGGCCAGCAGGAAGGGGAAGCGTTTCGGGAGCTTCGGTGCGGGAAGGTGTTTTTTGCCGTTTTCGGCATCCGGGGGCCGTCGTTTTCGGGCCCGAGGACCTTCGAAAACGGATCCGGGGTGGAAAACTACACCAGGTGGATGCTGGGAGGGGTCTGGGAACCGATTTTTAGCCGATTTGCCCTTTTTCCCCCCTTCCTGACACATTTTCGCAATATCCATACAATTCAGACTCCCCAGCCGCCTCCGAAACCCCCGTTTGATTCTTTGTCCTCTGGGCGTATCTACGTCAGGATGCACTCTCATGGCGCCCCGTTCCTATCAGCCAACAAAAGAGGCGATCTGACAAACATGTGACCGGAAGCAGGCCCGAAACATTGACCAAAGCGTCTGATGACGGTCATTGTGACTGAAATTGAGAAACGGATTGGCTTAAATTTAGATGTTTCTCCGGCGATGTCGGACAATTTGTTCGGTCACATTTGGTCAGGTTATCGGGTACAAGGTTGGTCATTGCCCCCCCCGGATAGAGACAAGGCTGCGTGACAACTCCTGGGGGGATACATCCGCATCGGCGCTGATATGCCCATGATTTGAATTCAGTTCACTCCGGCTTAATAATGGTTGTTCAATATGGGTTAATTCGTCTAAGTGCCCCCCCTTAGTTTGGCCTAGTGGCAATGTAACGGTGATCACAAGGATTTGCCAGAGGTGGCTTCCTATCTTGTCCTCCTCATCGTCCTCCTCCTCCTTGTCCTGCTGCTCATCCTACTCTCCCTCATCATAATGACGATGATGATCATCATCATCATCATCATCATCAGCATCATCATCAGCATCGTCATCGTCATCGTCATCATCGTCATCATCGTCATCATCGTCATCATCGTCATCACCATCCGTCTCCACCATCGTCTTCCACCCCTCTCCTTCTCCCTCTTGCTTCAGCGCGCGCTCTCGCGCTCGTATCCTCCAGGTGAGTCCCTCTAGCAAGGAAGCAATTGTATAAACATAAGTCGTCGGACCTCCGCGCCGATTTCTTGGACCAGAGGCGTTACCAGGGGCCCAGCGCCGATTCCAGAAATCCGCGCGGAGCTACGACAGTCCATGTCTATATCATTTTTTCTTCTGGTATCCTCCCTTTCGTCGTCGTCGTCGTCCTCCTCCTCCTCCTCCTACTAATCCCCCTCCCTGTCCCTCCTCGTCCTCCCCTCCCCCCTGTCCTCCTGATGCCCGAGCCGCAGCCGCAGCCGTGCTGCCCCCTTCGCCCGCGCGCGATCCCTGCTGGTAGAGGCTCAGCGCGCCGCTGCCTGCACGGCGACGGCGCCGCGCAGGCGCGGGGAGGAGACGTGCTGCCTCCGCCGCGGCAGCCCGCGGCGCTGGCTGCGGCGCTGCCCCCGCCGCCGCCCCCCGCGCCGTGCACCAACGCCAAAGGCCAAGACGTCAAGCCGTGGCCCTTCCCTGCTGGTGGTGTTCCCGACCCCACGTGCTCTGGGTGCTCCGCGTCCTGGCATATCCTCGTGCTGCCCACGCCCCCGCTCGAGCCTCGCACGGGTCCCGGCCTCGTCATCCGGCACGGCCCGGCGGTGATCGCTGCGAGGCGCGCAGGCCCAGCGGCCGAGGAGCGCGCGTCTCTGCGAGGGCTGCCTCCGCAGTTGGGGACTTTGTGTTTTGAGTGCCGGTTCTCCACCTCCAGGAGTTGCGGACGAGCGTGGCGGACGTCGCCGTCTCCACAGGTGCAAGCGCCCGTTCTCTTCTTGGACAGCCAGCGCCACGCCTGAACGCCCGTGTGTTGTGACAGGCCCCGATCCCGCGCCTGTCCCTATGGGCCGCCCCCCTGTCGCCTCCCCCGATGCACGTTAGCTGTTGTTCGGCTTCGGAGGGTGAGGCCAGGCGCCGTGGCCTCTTAGCTTTGACAGACAGCTCGGCCATGCAGGAGCTTTGTGGGCCCCGGAAACGGCAGGGCCGTTTTTTCACCGTTTCCAAAACAATGTCCATTGAAAATGGAAACGGCAAAAAGACGGCGACCGGAAACGGCAAAACAACGGCTCCAAGATCGGAACTGGAGCCCGAACTCGTCACAAAACGGCGACGGAACCGGTAAAACAACGGCGTCGGAACCGGCAACAAAAACGGCCAAACGGACGGGTAAAAAAGCGGCCCCGTCGTTTCCAGGGCCCACTATAAATGCAGGAGGCTGGTGTGTCCTCCCAGCTTGCTGGTAGCACCGCTGGCGAGCGGCTGCGTCCGTTCTCTCGATGTCAAGCGTCCCCCACGCCTGCCGCCGGGGGACGCTCCCGATCCCCGCGTTTGGAGGGCGAGGCCGAAAGGCGCCGCCGCACAAAGGCATTACAGTCGGGGCGTTGACCTAAGGAACCCCAGCTGAGGAACGAGGCCCCTTTTTCCCATAAGTTCAACCTCGATTTCCCGTGGAAAACCTCAGGAAAGCCCGAGGCGAACTTTGAAACCTTCAAGGAACACCGAGCTACTCCCCAACGAAAAGGGTTCCTTCTCCAGCGCCCCGACTGTAGCCCGGGAGCTGCAGCGCCCAGCGTGCCACCATTGCGAGGCTATCACGATGGGCGTCGGCGCAACGCCACGATGTGCAGAGCAAGCAGGGGATTGCAGTGCTGGCCCTGCTGGATCGAACCTGCGTTCCCGCGCTAGAGATACGCATGTTTTTGTTTTGCATCGGCCGTCGATCCACGGCGCATGCCTATATTTTCCGATGCCCCACAGCAAGACAACCTAATTGTTGCCATGCGTTGCCCGCAGCCTTTTCCATTGGGGTACACCTCGGCGACCCCCCCAGCCTTCGCATGTCTGGGGCCAGGTCTTGGGTCGCTGTAGGTCTGTCCAGGTTCCCTGCTCGTGGGTCGCCCCCTTTGTAGATCAATGACCTCCCCTGTTCCTCTGCGTTCGAACTGTGCCCTGCGCTCTCTTCTCCACTAATCATCCCTTGTCTACGTTGGCAGGACTGCGTTTACAGTCGGGAAGTGCGTATTCGAGTGCAGCCGTCATTGGCATTTGCTTCTCGATCGTTTCACGCAGCTGTTACTCGTTGGCAATTTCTGAGGCTGTTCCTGCAGCTTGCCCAATCCTGTACTCTAGCTAGGGGCTTCCAGCTTACCTGCTCGCGCCTCTGGGTCTCCCCCCCCGCCGCCTTGAGCTTCTGGTGTCGTGCCGCCCGCGCTCGTGGCCCTGTTCGCCTGTAGTTGCTCGTAGCCTTTCTTCGGTCTGTCGTTGCCCCGGGCGGGTGCACGTTTCCACCCTGCGTGGCTTGGTGCCGATTGCCCACCTCTGCATTGCATGATACTGTGCCCACCTTTTGCTCCATCCGCAGCAGCAAACGAGCCTGCTGCCGGTTTCCACACTTTTGGATCCAAACGCTCGCGTCTGGCTGCAGTGGACGTGCCCCCCCCCCCCCCCCGCTACCCCTCCCTTCTCGCCCCCACTGCCCTTTCCTCTGCTCCTTGCAGGCCAGGCGCACGCCCATTCGGGCTCTCGAGTCTCTCATGTCGTCTCCTCCCTCACTGTCACCGTTACTCTACTATTATTATTATCATTATGATTGTTATTATTATTATTATTATTATTATTATTAATATTATTATTATTACTATTACGATTGTTGTTATTAGTATGAGTATTATCACTGAAGCATGCAACTCCCACTCGTGGCAGCGGCCGCCGTACGACCCGGGTGCGTCGGCACACCTTGGTGTTTTCGCTGGCCTGGGTCAATTGGCAGATTGTCGTCTCTTACCGGTACCGACACCGACACCTGCCCTCCTGCCCCCTCGCCTTCCTGCGAACGCACTCGCGTGCACGTGGCGGGGAGAGAGGGGCGCGCTTTTAGGTTCTTGATCCTCTCACTCACGCGCACCGCTTGCGGACTGGAGGGATCGGGGAGGGAGGCAGAGAGAGAGGAGGGAACATATCACGGGAGGAGGTACTGATAACACTACCCTTGTCTCATTTTCGCATTTGTTTTTTTTGGAGGCTCAATCGTTTTGAGAGTTTGCAATGGGAACCCATGTCAAGGAACACCCTGCTTGCGTCCAGGGTGCCCTGAGAATCTTGGTGTTCGATGGTTTTGCAATGGAAAGCGTGACGTTCCCACACCAAAAATCAATGGACGTCCTGGGGTCTCAGGGTTGGGTTTCTCGTGGAAGGTTTCTTTTGGTCGAGCTCCTACTGTAGTCAGACCACATCCTCGGAGAGGTTTGGGGAGTAGCGGTATCGGTATCTCCTGGCTCCCCTTGCGAATAGGAAGGAAGGAGGGAGGATGGGCGAGGGCAGAGGGAGGGGGTGCAGGAGTTGGAGGAGGATTGGTGGGTCAAGGTAGAGGGATGACGGACGAAGGGAAATCGATGAGTATAAGGGCGAGGAAGGGATGAGGAGGACGAGGAAGAGGAGGAGGAACAGGAGGAGGAGGAGGAGGAGGAGGAGGAGGAGGAGGAGGGAGAGGATTATCACCTAAACCTTCGACGCAGGCCCCCTAACCAGAGTGCTGGGCCCCATCCTTGGGACCAACTCTCCACCCCCCGACGGTGGCAATGGTGAAGAGCTTCCAATGCGGTTCTGTCCGGTCTGCGGAGGCCTGGATGTGAGTTTCCCGTGCAGATGCTGGAGAAGTATTCCACTCTCAGCGCTTTTCTCGCCAGCGTTCGTGATTGCCGTTGCCAGCCGAGGCAACGCCTGGTGCCCGCCCATGGGCGCCTCGTGGGCGCCTCGTCCGCAGCGTGTCTCTTTGTGTGTGTGTGTGTGGTTGGCCGCCCGCC